AATACAAGTTCTTTAGTCAGAACAAATTCTGATAGATGTCAGAGGATTACCAAAATATTTATCACCTGTTGCTTAAGCAATTTTCTCATTAAATCGAACTTGGAAATTTTCTTGTTTTCTCTAGTTTTTTTTTTTGGGGGGGGGATTAATGCTTATATACAATATTTTGTTTCTAGAGTTGTTTATATATATCAACTGTAATCTGATCAATACCCTGAGTGTCACACTGCTGACATGTCATAATCCAGTTTTTTTTCCCTACATGTCAACCTAGTCTGCAACAGATAAGGTGTTATGGATAGTTCCATCAACAGACATTTAAACATAGCCTAAATGTCTGCAAAATAAGCCATAATATTAACATCCAGGAATTAAATCGGGAAGAAAAATACCAATCAACCCAGAGTATTGTGACAGAAAACAACATTAGGTTAGAATAAAACCACTATTATTTTTTTTTAATATCAGGTCTCTTGAGAATGTAGGTGATAATGGCTCTCTATAGATTTGTTATCTTTACTATCTGTGAAGTTTCCATTGTTTTCTCTACAGTTTTTGAATTCAAAATTGTCCTTTTCTAAGACTTGCTACCACCCAAAGCTAGAGAGTCCTGTCTACCCTGCTATTTAACTATAACTTTGGGGTGGGGGAGAAACAGATTCATGCCTTTCCCACAGAGCTGTGAAGTCGAAGCACAAAACCTTTGTCACCTCCAATTCTTCTTTATGTAATTAAGTGATTATGGCCTACAAATCTCAAAGCTTATACATACACTCATAACTTGAATAGACCTATATCATTATAACTGGGTTATATCAAAGATATTGTGGCTTTTATATCATACCTATTCATTCTTCAATATTTTCTAACAGAATTAAAGAGAAAATTTTAGAAGGATGTAGAAGAAATAAAAATGCTATAATGTAAGACATATATAATCTTTGCAAACAAGAAATAAATACACAACAAAAATAAAACTATTTTATAACCGAAGTTGAAATATAATCTTTTACAGGATGTAAAAGACAAAACAAAAATAATTTTATAAAATGTAAGATTTTTTTTTACATATATAGTTTTGCAAATACTAAATAACTAAAAAAAAAAAAAAAATAAAATGACTTTAGAAAAAATGTTGAGATGAATTTCTTTCAAGGAAATAATATATATATATATATATATATAGTAGAAGAAATAACAATAAAATTTCTATAATGTAAAACTTTTTACATAAAGTGTAAATTCAAATGGGGTTAGAGTCTGTATAGTTTTACTAAGTCCGACTCCAGTGACCCCTTAATTTCTTCAGATTCCACAGCCCTACTTTCTCAAGGACATTAGCGTGAAGTAACAGTCTAGACCAGTGTTTCTCAACCATTTTTTTTTTTTTTAAACTCCAGGGCACACTTTAAATTTTAATAAGGAAAAATTAGTCATGAAATTTCAAAATAGGACAATAAAAAAAAAAATATCTAAAATAAGACATTTTTAAGACATGACATTGTATATTTAAGTAAGTATGCTTGTGTGAAAGCTGTGGTCAATGTACTTTGGCAATGTATTGAATCTTAGGCCTTACATTTGATAAACATTCATTAGCATTCAAAATGAAGATTAGTGGTACACTTTTTCTTTAAAGGAATTTATGAAGAATTTGCTTTTTTTTTTTTTTAAAAAAGAGAGGCCAATAATGACCAATTTAAATCCCTTGAAGAAGGCAAATGGGAAAATGGGAAAGGATAATCCACTCCTCCTTAAAGATTAAGGAATTTAGCATCTAGTTTAAAATATCAACTGACAAAGACTTATATGTAGAAGCCATGTGCTTGGTGTCTCTTGCTCATTAAAAATAAAGATTTTTAAATATAAAAATAATTCATAAATTACTTTTCTGTTAACATGGGGCACATCTGGCTACCTTTCTGGGCACTTAAGTGCACCGGTTGAGAAATGCTGATCTAGACAGAACTCAACTTAATAATTTCACCTTTTGTGCTGATAACTGCTAAGCTATAAATAAATTTTAATAAAACTGAAAAAATTAAAAATGTTGATTTAATGTATCTAATTTAATTTACTGAGTTATTTCAAGTGTTCCTAAATGCTCTTGATTTTCATCAAATTTTGTCAGGTTAAACTACTCAAGATTTGACTACAGGATTTGTTCCTTTAAAGGAGAAACACAGAAAAGGAGAAAGTATTTTTGCATAATCAACTAACCTATTTAATATTTGGCTTGAATCAATTTAATATCAGTAATCAAATTTCAATATACACCAACAACTGTCTTTTATGGTGAAAAGATTGGTTTGGTTTTGGCTCAATAGCACATAGGGTTATAAAGGTCTTGAATCCTGATCATTTGGGGTATAGCTTTGTTATATGCAGACTAGTGATAGTTTTGGGTACAGGTTAATTGGTGAGTGTTTTTTTCTTTCTTTTTAATCAGTTATTAGGAGTGCTGGTTTCTAATACTAGTTATTTTGTATTCAGTTTCAGATGGTGAAAGGAACTCTTTGATGTTAATACCTAATGTAACAGTAAAAAAACCAAAAAAAATCCATGACACTCACTATTTTTCTATATTCTCAAAAAGTTTATAAAATGATTTATTCATTTTCTACTGCTTAACTCTTTGCAGGTTACTTTAAGGCAGAAAATATTTTTAAATTGTAGGAATAATTTTTATTTTTTTTTTATTTTTATTTTTTTAGAATTATTATTAAGTGATACAAGACTTACTAATTGATGGAGAAGGGAGAAAAAGTAAAGTCATACCTTTCCCAAAGGTATTTTTTCATATAAGTGAATATAATGAACCCAACTGAAATTGGAACTTGGCTCTCCAATTAACAATTCTGAGCCATTATCTATTACATCACCTGCACATCCAAACTTACAACACCTGGTATTCCCAAGTGATTACCCATCTTGGTAAATAACCAAGTTCAATGTTGCTTAAATTCGGTCATTGTACAGGAACTAGTGTTTCGAAATGATATGGCCTACATTGTAAAAAGAATGATGCCTAAACAGATCAAGAATAGATGAGTGCATTAGGTAAACTCTTTTCATTAGTATGATACTTAAGAAAAAAGGCTGAGCAAGCTAGGTCATTTTATCATCTGTCTCATAGCTTTTATTATAACCTGAACTGATTATTTTGGTGGCTTTTTCATTCCAATAAGCAATTTGATAAGCAGTAAGTATTCATGATAGGTACCTCCATGAAAACACTTAAACAAAACTGGCATACTGTGATGAAAACATGCTCCAAAACAATTTTATCAAAATCTTTATTAAGAGGAATGATCAGAGTACTTTTTTGAATATTTAATTAAATTTTTTATTCCTTTTTAGAACATTTGAAATTTTGATTAAAAAACTTTCTTGCATCATCTAATTTTTGTACTAACTTTTAGCATAGCAAATTTTAACCTCTTTCTTGTGGTGACAGAAAATCTATTCTGAATCAAAAAATGTAATAAAACTAAGACATTATTTAAGAGGCTTTTAATTAATTTTAAGAATGTATAGTATATTGTCTAAAGAAAAAAAATTTTTGATGAAAAATAAATTTTTTTACAATATTTGTTTTCATTTTTTACAATTTTAAATTGAATAATTTATGATTTTAAATCTTTTAAAATTCATTTTCAAAGAGATAACTAAGAAAATATTATTAAGTAAAACTATATTTACTAATCATATATTGTAAAGCTTATTACAATCTGACCATCCTGAATATTTTTTAAAGAATTTTGATTTGTTTTTGTATGTGTGAAATACGTGCAGAGTTTTAAAGTATGGATGTTCAAAGCTATAACATTATCATTAAAAGGTCACATACTTTAAGGTTTGTCCCTCTTTATGGGGGGAAAAAAAACCCATATATGAACTTTATTGTCAGCTCAACCATACTTAACTATGAACACGTTAATATAAATAATATTTGTTTCAAATCGGATTAATTTAACTTAAAATTTAATAATTTTCCTCACATTTTGGAAAAAAATTTTTTATTTTTGCAAGATTTTTCAAACTGAGAATTAACTTTTGTTTACAAATTTAGAAAAAAAAAATATTGATTCCAATCAATATAATTTGTTTGAAATAAAAAGGGTATTTTACTTACTGGAAATAGCAAATTTTAAATCCTTTAGCTTTCAATTAAAGCTAAAATGAAAGCTTTTACATTTTTACAAAAGCATTTTAAACCTTATGTATACTGACTTAGTGGAGGCACCTAATTTATGACAACTTCTTATCCTCAACTGGTATGAACACGTGTTAGACTAAATGCAAGAGAAAATTGTTCTTTTATTTTAATCTTTCCACCGCCACATGCAATTACAACAAATATCACTGACCTGGTAATAATGCTATCAACTATCCTGGTAGCCATCAATTCTATTCTATAATGATGAACCAAACTGAGCAGTATTATTCAGTAAATAGAGCAGCTTTTATCTTTCAAGTCAGTGAAAATTAAATACCATAAATATTAGCATGTTATCAATAAAACCTGGCAAAAATAAGCAAATAAGATTTTACAGGAACTTTTAAAATATTAATTCTCATAGATTGGAATAGGAAGGGTTAGCATTTAAGAAATTTTATTGAATGAAACTTTTTCCAGTTGCCTTGTCTTAAAAGGCACCGTTCAAACTAAATTAGTATTCTAACCTCTTCCTTGCTTTTGGAAAATGTCATACACATCTAAATAGACTAGTTTAATGTACTTATGTAGAAAATGAATGTCATGGTTTATCTGGTAGAGGATTCAATTATAAAACAGTATACAGTTCCAGGGTTGATTCAAATTTGTGCTTTAAAGTTGGTACTGATATTTAACCACACATTTATACACTGTGCCCATTGCAGTCTAAATGATCTTAAAATTCTCCATATGAATATCTACAAAAAGAAATGGATGCTGAAGACAGCAGGAAAAAAAAAGCAAAAAAAAAAAAAAAAAAGCAAAAGAAAAGCCAACTCACCTTGTGCATAAACCCTTTTGCTAAGCTGATCTGTCCTTTGCCTTTTGCATACACAGAACCATTCCTCTCACTCTCCCGACTTCTATCTCTACAGAGCCGTGTTTGACTCATTGTTAACTGCACTCCATCATTTGAGTAATCAGTAAAGTCCTTGCATTGAAGAAAGGTAATGCTGCGAGATACTGGGGTTGGCTTAATTGTAGATTCATGACGATTCTGCAAGAAAGCAAAACTATTTTAAGTCAGTATATAAAAAAAAGATATATAATTATACATATAACAAATTAAAGTAATAATTTTACATTGCTCGATTTAATAATGTCACAGCATTTATTTTATTTGAATTAACAAATGAGACTTACTACACTTTTCTAAGATTTTGCAAATTTCAAAAAATCTCTATCATTTACCATCATCCATACAGGAAAAATATACTGCACATATCACAAATGATTGGTACATAGCAGATATTTATTTAGTCATCAAAGGCTCAAAAACAGACTTAAAAAATTCATTAGATTTATAAATCTGTAAGGAATTATTTTCTTGTTATTTGTTCAACTCAAGAATTTTGTTTGGGACAAGTAACATGATCTGGAAGTAATAAAGTCATGACAGGTCAGTCAATATACAGAGCTAGAAAATTTTTAGTCAAAAAGAAATATGAACCACCTAGATATATAAGAAAGCAGAAACAATGGGTTAGGTTTAGTTAGGGTTGATCTGTCAATGTTGGGATGTTAACTGAAGAATTAGGTAATGCAAGCATGGTATTGAAGAAAAGCACCACATGATAAGCCAAACTTTATGGGTCTGAAAGTAATAAAGACTAAATAAACAAATGAAAGACTAACAAGTGCTTAGCTACAATTTAGTTTATATAGCAATACACATAATTTAGATATAAAAAAATAAAACAGTATGGCATAATTAATCATTTTTAAAACAATTGTCTTAAGATATCTTCTTTGGCAAGGTGTTCTAAAACTTTATAGTTCATAACAGTCTTCTTAATATGTAAAATTTAAAATTTATTAATGGATTGGTATACTTTCTGAAATTGTTCAAAATTAGTTGACAATCCATTATCAAGAACCCATTCTTGCTGAGCAGGCAACACTTGGCAACAATAATAATCTAATTACAAGTTAGATATGAACAAAATTGGCTTTAAAAAAACCTTCAATCAATGATATCTGCTCTTATATCCTAATTTCGCATTAACTATCAAAAGATAACTATCAAAGCTTCCTCAAGAATGGGAATTAAATTTTATTTGTTTATTTTGACAAATTAAAGCCAGCTTATTTGGAATCCCAACAATTATAAGAGAAATCATGTAATGAAAGTAGTGCTGAACAATCACTCTTCTGGTTCCTTTCACATTAATACAAAAGGTCTCCCAGGGCTGTATCCTTGGATATTTTTTTTCTTTTCAACAACCTTCCCAGTGTCATCAGTTCCCAACTGGGTATTTATGCTGATGAAACTAATATTTAATCCTCTCTTAATACCAATCTTAATATTTTCTTTAAGTGAAACTGGCAACTGATCTTGAAAATGACTTTCAATCAGTTGCCATCTGGGAGCAAGAACTGGCTTGTGAATTTTAATACTTCAAAAACAAAACTGCTGTCTTTTACATTTGTCGTAGAGAAACATTTTTAGCTACCATCAGCATGGCTGCTGCCACCCTAAGAAAGCAATTTATTATGTCTCCTCAGTCTAACATTTTCTACCAATATGAAATAATTATACAGAAACAATTGCTAGGTCTGCTACTAGGAAAAATGGTTTACTGTGTCATGTCAAACAACTTTTCTCAACAGAATCCACCTTGCATGTTTATAAATCTATCATTTATCCATGCATTGAATATTGCTGCCATATATGCTTTGATGTCCCTGCTATATATTTCAAGATTCTTCACCTGGCATCACAGCTTCAGTCATTTTCCCAATACTGTAATACAACTTCTGTCTTTTCTATAAATATTTTCATGGGAATTTGTTCTGATGAGCTTTCCTCCTTGGTACCTCAAAGGTATGAATTTAAGTATAGTACTAGATTAGCAACTAGGTCTCAACATTTTAATGTTGAACTAACTAGAGGCAACTATAAGTTCTATTCTAATTCTTTTTTACACTTCTCATCTATGGAACTTTTCCAGTAGTTTCCTGTCACCTACAATCTTCAAAAATTTAAGCGGAACATCAAACACCATCTTCTGACTTCCTGAATCTTGTTCTTTTATTGTCTTTTCTCCTCATTAACATCTTTCTCATTTTCCTTCACTCTCAGTAACCCCTTGCATTTTAGTGGCACTATCACCTTACATGATTTGAAACGATTAAAACAAATCTATTTACATCTGTCTAGTGTTGTTGGCAGGTGTCCAAAAGTTTATGCTTTTATCAGCTATCATCTAAGCAAAGGAATTGTTGACACTGGCATGCCAGTTTATTTTACAGAGGCACGCTGAATAGGCTATATAGGCAGAGATGAGCAGGAAGAATTAATCAAATAGTAGTTCCAAATACTGGCAAATACTGTCACTATCTCAAGCTGAAAAAAATAGTAATATTTTTGATTTAACAGTTAACAGAGAAACTTTTTTTTTATAGAATCCAAAATATATTTAATTTCCAGATTATAAAAAAAAAAAGGTAAAATCAATTATAACAACCAAATTTAATGTTACAAACATCATTAACTCTTGTAATAAAACAGTGCCAGAGGTTAGTAATCATATAAAGAAAAAAAAAATTAAAAACTTTTGAGCTAGAGCCTGTTAGAAAAAAAAACAAAAACGTTGAAGTGAGAATGAAAATTGCTGGTTCTTCTCCATTTGATTGCTTAGTTTCACGACTACAAATGCAGAAGGAAGTGTAACTATGCTTTATAGACTACACAAAAGCATTTGACAAAATACACCACAAGGATCAGCTGGAACTGCTCAGCAACCTTGATATATTTGGCAAAGATATTAGAATAATCAAGAATCTATACTGGCAGCAAATGGCATGCATGGGCATTGAGAATGAGTTCAGCAAATATACAAAAATAAAAAGGGGCATATGGCAAATTATTTAAAATATATAATACATAAATTAATCTCAAACTAAAATAATATAAATAAGTACATTATTAAAATATATAAAAAATATTCAATAATAACATTTATTTACTTTTTATTTTATTTTTTATTAGACATTAAATTACATCAGTTACCATCCTCCATAATTTATCTTGAATTTCAGTTAAAAGGAAGTATATTTATGTGCATTAAATTTAAAAATTCTGAAAAACTAATATTTTTACTTCTGTTTATAAATACTTGTTGCATAATAAAATACTTACATTTGCCTTCATAAAATCCATCAGAGGACAAAACATGTCAGCTAAGTTTTCCTTTTGTCTTTATTTATAATCGTAAATTTTTAAGTGATATATTGATTGCTTAATTGTTAGATATTTTTTTTTTGTGGGGGTGAAAATATTGAAAGCCAACTTAATACATAGAGTAAAAAAAAAATTTGGAAGTGTTATGCTCTAGTAATCTGTATCTCTGAACAAACTTTCTTCATTCACAACCAGATATCTCCTTTCATCTCTGCATAATTAGGACATTAAGATTTTGTGGGGTTGTAGAAATGAACTCTGAAAAACTGGATTTGAAGTTCGTTTTGTAAATCTTTCCAGAACAGTATAGAAGGATAAGAAATTGCCAATAAAACGTGAAATTAAACTTTGTTCAAGCAATTCACATAAAAAATTCTCAAGGTCTTTTCAAATGTATTTTTGTGATAATAACCGTCATAAATTGTGAAAAGCATAATTTATTTGTTCAAATAAAAAGTTATGCTTTTATCAAAAGCATTTAATTTAGACTTCAATCCATGGATTTCATCAATTTAATATGCACAAACAGTATTAATATCATTATTATTAAAATTATCTGTGCATGTACAATACATAATTTTTTTTTTAAATGCTACATTCAGATTAATTTATAAGTTTGTAATTAACTTCAGTTGACTTTTCTCCATTAAGTAGGTGTTAATAAAGATAATGAAGAAATATGAAACCAGTCTTATCTATATTGTGAATTTAAATTGTCTTATCAGTTAACAAAAAAAAAAAAATACAAGATGGGTAGAATTTTATTCTTTTTAATCAGATGAGACCTGATCATTTGAATATTAAAGTTTTTATCAATTTATTAAAAAGTTTTAACAGTGATTTGAAACTTCAATTTGTTAAAAAATAAAACCTTAAATTTACAAGCTGATTAAGCAACTGCAAAATGGTTCATATTTATACATAAATCAAGAAAATAGCTTTTAGAAGTGTGCTGGGATCAAATATAGATCAGAATCTGACAGAATAAGAGAAAAACAAATAGGAAATGTTTATCAATCTAACATGTTACACTTTTATTAAAGTTTCATCAGAGAATGAGATATGGAAAAAAAGAAAGAAATTTTGTTGTTTTTACTTTTCTGTGGTCTGATGTTCATTGGTTAATCCTGTTTCATGTGCATTCAACTTGTTAAATGAACATTAATATAATTTATGGTGTTCTGAATTCAAGGGAAGATGACACACCTCTTTGATGTTCCAAGAAAATAATGGATTCCAAGTTTAACTAGAAAACCATAAGTATTGCTTTATGTATGTAAATGTATAATAATTCTAGTTTGTCTATGTAGGACAAAGTTGATAATGTGTGTGTGCATGTGTGTGTGTCTGGTAGACATTATGTTTGATGGTTTTTCACATTTCACATGTTGAGATATATATAAATTTAGATCCACCTTAAACAAATTCACGTCATTGGCACTTTCTTCTACTCGGATTTTCTTTCACCTTTAACCAACTCCTGCAATAGGGAATGGATGACAGGAGCAGGCATTGGTAAAACAGGTAGCTTCTATTCCTGAACCTGTACATTGGCAGCAAATGTAGTCATCAAAACTATTATCATAAAAGAAGCAATCAGCAAAGAAATTAAATTCTAGGATATGAGATAAGGCTGACAACAACATAAGTATCACATTCATTTTTGACTTGGAATTTTACCTGAAATTGAGAAAAGAAAAATAACATCTATGCCTGAGTATGGTAAATGTTTACCGAAAGTACTTACAGTATGGACTGAACATCTAGACCATTTTACAATTAATAAAAAGGATAATGTCATTCAGTGAATAGTC